TCTTAAAGAAAATAACCCCAGTATTGAATGATTTGAAAACCGGAGAAGGTGCGAAGAATTTGCAAACTTGTCATCTCATTTCATCAGAACAGGAGGCAGGAGAGGGGAACGTGTTTCATTTTCCCTGCGAGAAGACTAAACGCACGAGTCGTGATGACCCTGGGAGCCCCGAATCCACCGTGCCCTCTCTGACCAGCTTTGCCGGATCCCCGGCTGCCCACGCCAACCCCCCAGGTGAGCTGCCAGGGACTCGGGAGGGTCACCTGGCAGCCTGGGACAGAAACTCCTGTGCTGGATAGCCTGTTCTTGCTGGGCTGTTGATAATCTTGGTCGGGTTCCAGCACAGAGGGAAATATTCCCCCCAGTGTTGCAAATCATCATGAAACATATTTTTTTTTTTTAATCTGCTCCAGCTCAACCATTATTTACATGGTTTTCTCCACCCACGGTAGGGAAGGAAGGCATTTTCAGGCTGCTCCTCACAATTATGAGAGCAAAAATGAATTGAACGTAAGTGTTAGATATGTAACAGAAAGCTGTTAGCTGTATTCACGGGAATTCGGGGGGTGAGGAGGGAAACAAAAATAATCGCTTATCAGAGGCTCCATACAGCAGAAAGAAAACCGCTGCCTTCATTTTCAAACCACGCAACGCCTTGCACACGGTCGTTTTTCTAATCCAGCCCCTCCAGGCCCAGTTACCCACTCTTTCTAGCAGAGCACAGCAGATGTTAGGAATCCTTCATGCGCCTGAAAGACTTGCTTCTGGTATAAACAGTGGTACTGGTATTAATCAACAATAACATCAGTGCGATAAACAGCAGTGGAAATATTTGTTTAGAACAGAAAATGTAAGGGAAAAAAAAAAACCCGATGGTGAAAATAACATGAACTACAGGGCAGGCAGGTGATGGCGTGGCACCCGAGAGGAATAGCAGGGAAAGAGGACTTCAATCTGAGCTACACGAAGCAAACCTGTGTGCCACCGCATCAGTAGAATCTCTTCCACACGGATCATCCCCGCAATTCCCCTCCTTCAGCAAGGGGAGAGGATAAACTATTTCTCTGCAATATCCAGCCCGAACGCTCAGCTGCCTCCTGACTTTCAAAGACGCTTGTAATACGCTTTTGTAAAAGCACGACTGGGACCTACCGAAATGGAGCACGCTGCCGTTTCTCTTACGGCACGCTGTCCTGGAAGGACGCCGTGGGCGATGCCTGGCAGCTTTGCTCACGCACCAGGCGTCGGTGGATGTGTTACTTAATCGTCGTTCTTGGTTTTAGCGGTTCCCATCAGGGTGGCTATCTCGCGTTTGAGATGGATCGCTGCACTCCGCTTCCCTGGTACAAAACCAGATTCTTTCTTACAGCTCTGTAACAGACGGAGTTTTCACTTTACAAATATTTACGAGGTTCCAACATACCACAAATAGCTGGTAGGGTATTTCTAGGTTTTGGCTGCAGCTGCTTTTCCCTTCCACTAAGTGAACATTTTCTGAGAACACTCAAACCTCCTTATATAGAAAAATCCATGACAGACCCACCCAACCCTACTGCTGGGACCGAGCTCTCGCCCTCTGCAAACGAGGACTAATACCGCAGCGCGGGCAGAAGCGGAAGGTTGCTCTAGGCTCTGCAGCCCGTTTTTACTCTTCCTAGAGGAGAATCACGAGGATTTCCTCACGGGCCGAGCCCTGCGTAACACTCCCAGGCTACAGGGCTTTCTCTGCGGCTCCGTAGCACGGTCCTGCTCTTGTCTTCCAGCTGTCTTCCCTGTTCAGTTTAGATACGTTCAGGGCGGAAGAGCAGCTTTTCAAATGTTTTCTCAGAGGTTTTATCACAACAGGATGGTGACACATACTTCGAAAGCCTGAAGATAACGCCTAGAAATTCAGACATATGGAAAATATACAGTTCAGGTATCTTCCGCTAACGAGCTTTTTGCCCTGAATCAGTAAACCTGCAAGCTTGAATGCCGTGGGGTTTAATCTTACGCTACATTTGAAGCTTGTGCCTACAATCCTGCTTTCCTGCGTAATACCACGTTCTTACCCAGCGTCCGGATGCACCTTTCTGTGATTTGCACACAATACGCCTGCCTCGTCCTAGGGCAGAAAGAAACGCGATCCATTTTCCTCCGTTCTTCAGATCACCCCGATGCTACAGAGGGAGGGAAGGCGGCAGTCTGCAGATGTGGCACTCGGCAGCGAGACCGAGTAACGCAGCGGCTCCGTCGGTAAGAAGCAACGGTGCGTGGCACCGGGCTTTTGACCAGAGCGGGCGATGGCTCTGTCCCGAAGGGCTTGTGCAGGGGGACAGCTTCTGGGTTTATTTACTTCTTTGGCCCCCATCGATAAAATCCCTGAAGTAAATCTTAGCTGAGCAGAGAGCTTCACGCCAGCCACGGAGGGGATCATTAGAAACTCTCGGAAGAGTCTAGAAGTTTGGACTTGAGTCCTGTCCCCCCTCCCCCCCAGCTAACAGTGCAAAAAGGGCTCGTTAACCTGTCTTTGCTCAGTGCTGGGGGGCAGGTAACTGTCATCTGTGCAGAGCCACAGGTGGGAAAGAAACCGTATGAGCCTGCCAAATGAAGTTTAATCAGATGCCAGGGTTTGGAGTTTATTCTCCTGTTTGGACGGCGCAAGTTTAGAGCTTCACTTACACTACACAGTTTAACGTAGTTGAAAGCGTGAGTGCTGTAACCAAAGTCCAGCGTGCACATAAATCGCTTTCTCTCCCTGCACGTGTAACAGTTTTTACGGTTCGGACTTCGAAACCCCTGATTTCTCAAGTCGATCACTTCTGCGCCTGGAGATCACCACTGCAGCTGCATCCCACACCAAGGGAAGCCACGGAGGCAGAGAAGAGGCGCTTCCAACCCAAAGGTACAAAGCACAACCTGCGCCTCAGTGTAACAGCGCAAGCCACGTGTACGAACACCAAACGGCATTTCTGTAATCACGCTTACGATTTCACTTGAGGTTCATTACAGAAATTAGACTCCTTGAAAGGCTGCTTTCTTCGCGTGCATCCCTTGACAAAATGGTAGGCGGCAGACTTTAACGCTGTTCCTTTAAGTAAATTAAAGGCACGTGAAAAGGCAGTTAAACTTTCTTAGAAATGTTTCATCATTCCCGCCTCGTTCCTTGAACTATTCTCGACATCGTAATAACGCGATACATAATAATGTGATGAACTAAATCCTATTCAGGTCAGCAAGAAGCGGGCAGGATGAAGGACTCTGCAACCGGTTATGGAGACCGGGGTCAGGTCGAAGACAGTAAGCTTGCAGTTTCTTTTTCCTGCTGCTGACTTAGTTTACTTCCTTGCTATAAGCATTTTCCTGACCCTTACTTCCACGTATTATTTTTTTATCATCCTTCATTCCCTCACCACAAAACCATTTCACCGTACCTTTCCAGGTGGTCGCAATGAGGGTGTTCACAGATAAAATACAGGAATATTTAGTTAAGAAGTTCTTGTTAAGAGAAATTACGGATGGAAGCATTTAAGAGAATACACACTGAGAAAACACCATTTGTCTTTACTGCATTTTGAAATGAAATAACCCAAGTCATGAAACCTGAGTAGATAAAATGTCTGAACCGCTACGACTCCCAGGTGAGTATCAGTTAAGGAGAACAGAGATCCTAGCAACATCCTAGGAAAACGTATTTCCATCAATTTTCACGGACAGCTTTCTACACATAACAAACGTCTCAAAAGATAAGTATCTTCATCATTTGAAACTCATATGGTAGATAGTCTGCTCTGTATCGTAATAGTGTATAGCCTACTATATATCCTACGCTATAGCCTACTGTATATCACATCTATTGCACCGTATCAGTAGTATAGCCTACCATGAATGATAATAGCGTGGGGATAATTACGCTGGTGACCAAGTAAATCTGGGTGGAAGGTAACGGGGGTGGAGGGTACGTGGGAGGGGGAAGGCGGGAGAGGAAGGACAGAGGGAGCGGGACGTGGCGGACACCAGAACATCCCAGAAGAGCCAGGCTTTCAAACTAACCTGCCCAGCAAGGCTGTACCTTAAAGCCTCCTGGGAGAACTGCACCAGGAACTTAGCCCAGGCTCCACTCCCCCTTTAGAAAAGACAAACCAGGGACAGGAGGTTTACAAGTTGCTTAAACTCTCCACGCAGGTTTTTCCAGCTGAAGGAAAAAAAAAGATTGTGGCTCAGAGTGACAGGAGGTCACAAGGATTCAGGGTTGAAAGCACAAATACTCACAGACAGAAGCCTTGTTAAATAGATAAATACACAGAACGGGTGCTAAAACATCACCCCTCGTGTTGATTTTAAAATCTGATTTTCCCTGCAGCACTTTCCTGGCTTTCCGGGTGCAGATTCCACAAGCAATGCGGTGGGATAAGCGACAGCCGCACTGATGCTTGTGGAGAGCACAGGTGTCGATCTCGAGGCACGCCAGCTACAGCTGCCCCCGTTTGGAGCACCCAGGCTTCCCCTTGCCAAAATCTCTCCAGCTTAGGGCTTGGAATTAGGGTGAAGCCGAGACCCTGTGAAACCCACCAGATCAGAGAAGCAGACTTTAAGTTTTGGGTGCTCTGCTCCACGTGCCCCTTCCCACAAGCACGGCAAGCTTGAGAGGCTCCCTGCCTCCGTGTGCAGCACCTGCTGCCATTCTTCACGCCGCATTTAAGAAAACTTCTAAGGTGGCTTAAAAAAAAAATCAGGATTATTTTAGCAGCGTTAATGGAATTCCCCTGTGAAACAAGCCCAGCTTCTTATTTTAATAACTTAGCAGACAGTGGAGATCTTTGATGTCTACAAAGCATCCAAAAGCCACTGTTAACACCAGGATTAAAACCTCGAATTTTCTGCGTTCGGGCCTGTGCTTGATTTGTTGACTGTTGTCACCAATAGGTTTCCCTCTAAAACTGGGCTTTCTCTTCACCTGTGGGGCCTTCAGCAACAAGGTTTAAGCCACCTCTCCAGAGAATGAGAAACGCTGTATTTGCGTATAAATTTTATTCTGAAAACAAAACCCAGCACATTGCTTTGACAAGTAAGGGGAAGAGACTATGCAAAATACAGAATAAAATAAGAAAAGAAGAGGCACTATCTTTTTTTCTTCTTAGTCCGGGACCTGTCTCTGTGTGTACAACGTGGAAGGATGCCTCGTGAAATCGGGGAGCGAACAGGCTTCCATTCTAGGTTTATTGACCTTTTTCTTTTTAAACATAAGACACAACCTAGCAGTAAAATCCAGGCTTGGAGAGCTGCAGTCTCAGCTCAGCTGGTCCTTGGTTCATGCACTAAGAGCAGGGTAGAACTTTGCTGGAATCAGGATTACAACTTTTTTTTTTTTGTTTTAAACAACGAAAAGTGACTACAATAAGGGAAGGAAGAACCTATACCCAATCCTCATTAAATGGAGACCTTTACCTCATTATTTCAAGCCTCCTTCCCAACTCCAGCTTGCCTTCTGTTCGCATCTCCCCAGCTTCTCCTTCAGCCTCCGCTGCTTGAACCTACCTCTTTTTGGATGGATTGAATCAGGCAGAAATCTCTCTATCGTTTGTTCCCAGTTCGCTCTCTAGCCGTTCAACTTTTTGTTTCTTAAATCAGAGAGGGTGTTTGTGATCAGCGCCTCCCTTTAACTCTGCAGCTTAGGTATCGCCTCCGGTCCCTGCGGCCTCCTCATCAAAAGTCTCAAACCGATGAACACCGCCGTTGAACTGCTGAACGCAACGCCCCGGTCCCTTCCTCGCCCCTCCAACCCCCTCCCCGCTGTGGTTGTTTCAGCTCTCTTCTCTCCTAGCCTCACACATTGCTACTGCTGCGCAGGAAGATGCTTATCTGATTCACTAACCTAGCCTTGTTGGGAAGCGCTTTAGCAGCATCCTTCCTAGCACTAACATGCAGGACAGAAAAACAACCGTTTGTTATTAGCCTAAAATTCCTGGTTGAGCATAAAACCCACGCAATCGCAGGGGGCTGTGGTCAGCCAGGCTGGCTACTTTCCCTTTTTGGTCTTTGCAGCTGCAGCGTTGTTGGTCTTGGCTTTCTTCTTTGCCGACCCCTTGGCCTCCGGCTCTTTGCGCTTGGCCGACGTGATGGAGCCCGTCACCTTGAAGAAGTCGTCCAGCCGGCCCTGCGTGCTGCCCTGCCGGCTTTTGCTCAGCCTCTTGACCCCGTTGCGGATCCGCTCTTCGTTGAACTGCTTCTCCCCGCACATGAACTGGACAAGCTGCTCTTCGTTCGGCTCGGTCCACTTCAGCTCAAGAGCGTCGGGGTTGACCACATCAGGCTCTAGAAAGAGCTTCTGGGCCTCTTTGTGCAACCAGTTCTCAGGCAGAGGGTACTTCTTGGTGTCTATCTGCTGAATGATCTTCTCGATGGTTTTGTGCTCCTTGATGAGCTCGATGGCACGCTTGGGCCCGATGCCGCGGATGCTCTCGCAGTAGTCGCAGCCCAGGAGGATACACAGATCCACAAACTGTTCCCAGGTCAGGTCTAGATCCTGCAGAATACGGTTCAGGTGAAACTCCTGGATGGGCAGCTTCTTCGTCTCGCTGGCAGTAAGATGCCGCATCAGTACGGGACTGCCGAAGGTCAGGCAGTCCATATCTTCCGTGGCAGCTGCATAGACCTTCCCAGCCTTCACCAAGGTAGCGCAGCTGGCTTCGGCCTCCCCCGGCGCCTCCACGTAGGGGATGCCCATCAGCATTAGTAACTTCTTGCACTCGTCAGTGTGCTGCTGGGTCACCTTGACCAGCCTCTTGCTGTACTTCTCAATGTTGTTCTCCTCTCCGGCCTCCTGAGCCTCCTGCAGGTGTTTCTCGGCCTCAGCCCGGCGCTCAGTCCGCTTTGCCAGTTCCCCCGATTTCAGCTGCGGGGGCTTGCCATCAAAGACGTAAACCGGCTTGATGCCGTTCTCCACCATGCGGACGGTCCGGTAGAACATGCCCATCAGGTGGCTCGTGGTCTCGCCCTCCTCGTTTTGAAGGACTTCAGCTCCCTGCCGCACGGCGATCAGGAACTGGTAGATGCTCATGGAGGCATCTATAGCGACCTTCCGGCCGAAGTAAGACTTGATGTCATTCTCCCGGATGGCGCCGGGAGCCACGTCAGCAATAAGCTTGGCCAGGCCATGGATTCCCATCCTGGGGAACAGAAAAGGGGACATTGGGATCAGCCTCTGCACACACGGGGAGCTGGGGGGTCAGCAGCTGGGCCATGGGGGCAGTGTACCACCTAAGCAGGGGGGACCAAAGGGAGGTGGCTGCTTCCCCCGCAAACCATCACCCCATGGGCTGCGGCCTCTGCTTCCAGCCTCAGCCTCCCCCAGCCCACCATTACGCCTCCACCTCAGCCTTCCCAGCATGCCATTACCCTCCCGCCTAGACCCATCGTTACCCCCCCTTTCCTACCTCACCCTCCCCCAGCCCCACCATTATCCCTTACCCGCCCGCCCCCTGTTCCCTCCTCCCTGTTTCCCGGCCCCACCATTACCCCCCCTATTACTTTTCCCCAGGCTTGCTGTTAACCCCTCTTCCCGCTTCCCGCTCCC